CACTGTATATCACGTCTACCCTCTCTGAGTGAGGGCGCTAATTCCAGCCTTCTAGTGCGTTGGTCGCAAGACGGCGAGGATGACTATTCGTGCATCATCTTGGAGGGCAACCAGAGCATCAGCATGGAGATGTTTTTGGCGATCGCGAAGACAGGAGACATGCCATCATAGTGCAGTTCTGTCTGTACGAGCCAACTATGGTCAACCAAGCAAGGCGAGGAAACATAGATGTAGCACAGTTGGCTGGAGTACATATTGCGCAGCATTGCAATTGTCCGGTGATATGATCGTCATTATTATTGAGTGATGCCTCTGATCTTGGACCAGATGAGGAACCAGGACCAGCTGTTCATGATGATGGTGAAGGATTGGACGCGGAATTCGGGGTGGCGTGGCAGAAGGAGCTAGAAATTGAGGGTCCGCACGACATCACGAACACCGAAGACGATGTGGAGGGTAATGTTCTATTCGGCCAAGCCACCAGAAAAAACAGTATGATATGCAGGGCACGCCGTTGGGTTCTGAGTACTTGTATGCTTATGTTGAGCTACAACCTCTTTACCGGCTGTGCGCAGATGACGATATTCTCGCGATGTCGGAGTTCGACAAGGATGCGAACTTGCAACGAGACTTACCAGAGACAACCGTGATGTGGTAAGGACTATCATGCAGGAACCCGCCGAGATTCAGCTGTCCGTAGGTATTGCCTATCTGGACGGCTATCCCCCGTCTGATACAATTTGGCAAGACGCAGATGAGTGCGTGATCCATGTGGACAAGGCAGGCATCAAGAGACCCCTGATTGAGACAAACAAGATTCAGTCTAACATGGCGGTAGTGGACGAAGATCCCAGAAATAGTCCTGGGTTAGCCAAGGCTGCAGTTCTTGCTGAATTGTCACGCTGGGTGGAGTATAATTCTATCACGCGTCGACCCAAGAAGGGTGCCTGGAACCTGCCGGCGTCAAGATTTGCATCCACATGGAAGTCGCAGAATTATGGCACCCGCCATATGAAGTGCCGCTTGACGGCACACGGCTTCAAGGATTTGGAGCGTGGTCATTTAGATAAGTTCAGTGGTTCTGCCATTTCTTGGGGAGAGCGAGCAGCGGCGGCTACTGCGGTACAGTCGGAGTGGCCTATCGCGCCATTGGATATTTCTCAAGCATTTCTGATGGGACTAACGTTCGAAGAAGCGCAGCAGATACGCGGAGGACCAACTGGCAGTGCGGTACTGAGGTCCATCAAGGGCTTTGCGAACTTCAACGACGCCACGGAATGTTGAGAGATGCTGAAGGGTGGATTTGGTCTAATTGATGCTCCTGACCTATTCGCGGTGAAGGCAGATAAGGTGCTGAAGCAGGAGAACACATGGCCGACCATCTCGGATCCCACGGTTACATGAAGTCCGAGAGCGGCAGGCTAGTGGTGGTGGTAAGTACTCGCATGGACGATTACATGGCCACCGGTAGTAAACCTACATTGCTGGCATGCCACAATATTCTACAAAAGCAGGTTGGGACGAATGTGAGGATTAATGCGGGGCAGTCGTTTACTCATACCGGCATTCGTCATCGATTGGTTGGAGACGGCAAGTGCATAATTTTGGATCAGTTTGACTATGCGGCCCCGATTAAGCTTCTGACGGCAACTCATTTCGAGAAGTTGAGTGACGACCCGCCGTTGTCAGGAGGATCTGAATGCTTGTTTTCTAACTCTGGTTGGAGCAATAGAATGGCTGGTGCAGACACGACTGGATATTGTTATCTATGTGAGTTCATTTCAGCGCACTGCAAAGAAGCCGGCACTTCTGGACCTGAAGCGCGTTGACCGTTGGTGTAGGTAAGTAGAGAACAGTGCATGCGGACTGGAGTATCGTAAGATTAAGATGCCCGCATCATTGGTCGCTGTCGGAGGTAGCGCATATCAGGCTCCAAGCTGCGAGAAGAGTGCACAAGACCCATTGGTTATGAGGGGATCTGTCATAGGTTCGGCACGCTACGACAGTAACAACAAGAAGTACGACATGCAGGTGCTGACATTCCTCAGAGGTAAACAGAATCATGTGTGTCTTGGACTGCGGAGCGCAGAGATGCACAATCAATAAGATCCGCTGGATGTAATGGTACTCGTGTTTTTCTTTGACGAAGTGAGACTAGGCCCGCAGACGGCCGAACGCATGAGGGATATCCGTTCCAATGGTGAGTTCGTGTTGGAAACGGAGGCTCTTTCACTGATTTTTTTTTGCAATCAGTTCATTTGCAGTTTTTTGCAGGTAAGGGAACTTCCTCACATTCGGCACATATTCGAGAGTTGATGAGAACCAACATGCTGAATATGTATCGTTGAAGTGATACACGGGATATGTGTGTGGACGGCATGACGAAGGTCAAGTTGGATCGACACCCCTTACATGTGCTGATGTCGGGTGTATGGAAGTTTGCCAATGAATGTAGAGCTCTTCGTGCAAAAGGCTTTGCAAATTGTTGCCACATAGATTTTACTGCGTACCATGAGTACTGATTTCGGTGACCGTGTGTCGCGCAACGAAACGCTTGTGAAGCCAGGGAGCAATATGCTCGATCGGTGAGAGGATTGATGTCCTTCTTGCGGCTAGAGCGTGGTGTTGCAGTCAGTGCTGTGTACAGGCTGTGTCGTTGCAGTTGTGTCGCATACTGGTGGCGTGTACATGCTACGTATTTGCAGTTGTGTCGCACGTTGTTGTTTTTGTTGCTGTGCGCCCTGTTCCGTTGCTGTATGCAGCCATTTTTGTTTGTGTGTGCTGTGCGCCCTGTTTCGATATATCATGCAGTCTTTTATGTAAATCGTGCGTAGTATGAGGTCAGAGGCTTGCGCGTCCAGAGCCGACTTGATAGATCAGTGGTCGTGTCGAGCTCACGGAAGGTAGAGGTTACGTGCGTTGGCCTCTGGCAGAGCCCGCGGGATCCCGAGAGCCCAAGGCATGCTTCTGTTCGAAGCCCATTGCGCTCAAACCGCGTGGTTTTCTTTTTCTTCAGTTGAGTGCATATCAGAGAGCAACAGAACATGATTCTCTTTTCTCCCGATCTCAAGATATATTGTTTTCTTGCCTGGTGCTGGCGTGGCCAAAGAGAGCGCTGGCGCTATTGCTGAGATAAAAAGGTTGGTCATTATCATACGAGGAGGGAGAGGTCTACGAGTTTGAGGAGTTCGAGTACGATTCTAGCGAGGAAGAGGAGGTGGGGGAGCAGGAAAAGGACGAGGACGAGGGCGAGGGCGTGGACCAGGAGGAGGAGGAGGAGGTCCAACGTCTCGAAAAACTCGGTGCGGAGGCTATTCGCTGTTTCGGCCTGTGGGGATCCTCGTCACGCCCTGGAGCAGCCAAAAGAGGTGTTTAATTTGAGAAAGGGCCCACACTTCCGTGGGGTCCACGTCGTGAACAGGAACACGTCGTCGGAAGCCTGGGTATTCTGTCTTGTGGCCGCGGCCGCTGCATTGGCGGTGCGGCGTGTCTTCTGAAGGGCTGCTCCCTCGCCCCAGATGGCTTCTTCCGGCGATCCTTGGCAACTACAAAGGCTGTTGTTACGCCAGGGTGTGATTTGCGATCGGCGCCGTTGGGGTCGGGGGGGGGACGACTCTGTCCTCGTCGGACCTCCTCGGGGCGCAGCGGAAGGCTCTGTCGAGGTCCTCGCGTCTCCTGGAGTCCCCCCAGGGGTGCCGGGTGCAAGCCAAACCTTTTGCAGCGCGAAGCTATTCGCGCTTCGCGGTCCTCGTTCCTTCTCCCCCCCCTCCTCGTTCTCCTTTGCTCCCTTTGGGGGGGCGGCGCGAGAGCGCGAAGTTATTCGCGCTTCGCCCAGCGCGAAGCGCGAAGCGCGAAGCTGGGAGCCCTTGTTGCGTGGTCAGGCGTCTTGGCTCCCGGCCGCATGGGGGTATGCGGAGGGGGTGGGGGGCGTCGAGCTTGCGCCTGGCACGGCTGCACTTCGCGCCCGGTCCAGCGCGTGTGGATCGAGGCCCCCTGCATGGGGTCCGAGCAGACGGGAGCCCTGGCTGAGTGGGGCCGGCTGGTGGGCGGCATGCGCCAAAATCCAGTTTCCGCGGGAGGCACGGTATATGGCAGGCTTCCTCGCGCGGGCGAGCCGGGTCCTGCCGCCCTCGCCCCCTCTCCCTCCCTCCATCCGTCGCCTCCTCGTCCTTCCGTCGTCGCCGTCCTCCTGCTCTCCTCCCCCTCCCTGCTCCTCCGCTGCCCTCTTCTCGGGCCAGGCGAAAGGGGGGATCGGGAAAGGGGGGGTACGAAATTTGCTGCATGCATCTGGTTTCGGCCTCACCGAGGGGCCCATTCCTCGATACATAGCCGCCTCCGGCGCTGGGAGGCGCTGGGAAAATCAGCTACGTGAGCTGATTCTCACCCCCCCCTATGCTATCCCCCCCTTTCGCCCGACCCGATCTTCCATCTCTCTCCTCTTCGCCCTTCTCGGGTATGGCCAGGACCCCAGGTAAGGGGACCCGGTTAGTGGTAGGGCCCCAGAGCCTTTGAGTTGGCCAGTATCACGAAACCAGGTTTGCCATAGCTGGTGTTTTTTCGGGTGACAGCAGTTCCGGTTAGTGGAAATGGGACGGGGGGGCGCACCAGGTACAGATCACTAAACCAGGTTCCGCTAAACCCAGTTCTGCCAATGCCCGACCTTCTCTGGGTTCTGGTCCTCTTGTCTGGGATCAGGAGCGAGAGGAGGCGGAGGAGGACGGCCGAGGAGGATAAGGAGGAGATGTTGGACAGTGGCGGCGGCGGAGGAGGAGGATGGTGGAGGAGGAGGAGTGGGAGAAGGGCCTCGGAGGTGGAGAAGGACGAGGAGGAGGCGGAGCAATGGCAGCAGGGAGGGAGAAGAGGGGCAGGGAGGGCGGTGGAACAGAAGGGTGAGGGCGAGGGATGGGGGGAGGGAGGGAGGAGTCGGACGTGGCAGGACGGTCGGGGGGGAGGAGGAGCGCGGTCTGGGAGGCGGCCCCTCCGCCGGCCCTTCTGGCGAGGTCCTTGCCGAGGCCAAGAAGATCCTCTTGGATACAACGTCGGGCGCCGTGTCGCAGACGTACAATTTCCTGCAGGCTCGGGGAGAGAGAGGAGGACGAGGAGAAGGAGGATGAGGCCGAGGAGCAGTGGGGAGAAGGTTGATGATGATGAGTATCAGGAGGAGTAGGAGGAGAGGGAGGAGAAGCATGAGGATGAGGATAATGATCATGTGCTGATGCTGATGATGCCGTTGCTGCTGCTGCTGACAATGATGATGATGATGACGATGCTGATGATGATGACGACGGCGATGCTGATGATGATGATGATGATGATGATGATGATGATGATACTGATGATGATGATGGTGATGATAATGATGATGATGATGATGCATGTGATAATGATGATGTAGATGATGCTGATGCTGATGCTGATGATGCTGATTATGATGATGATTACGATACTACTGATAATGATGATGCCGCTGATGATGATGACCGTGATGTTGTTGATGATGCTGGTCATGATCATGAGCATGACCATTACTGTGATGATACAGATGATGATGCTGCTGACGATGACGATTCTGATGCTGGTGCCGACGATGCTCATGCGATGGCTATGGCGATCATGGCGCCGAAGACCATGGTGATCACGATGATGATGGTGTTGTTGGTACTGCTGCTGATGATGGTGATCCTGATGATGGGACGACGTCGGCAACGACGACGATGACGACGACGATGATGATGATGATGATGATGATGATGATGATGATGATGATGCTGATTATGATGATGGGGAGGAGGAGGAGGAGGAGGAGGAGGAGGAGGAGGAGGCGGAGGAGGAGGAGAGAGGGTGGGTGGAGACAACGGGGAAAATGAAGAAGCCGACATGAAGGAATGAGCAGGAGGCCGGAAGGATAACGGCGAGGAGGAGGTGGAGACACCAGAACAAGAGACGGCGTTGTCAGACGTTGCCCCAAATGATGATGAAGGTAATGATGATGATGATGATGATGATGTTGATGATGCTGCTGATGCTGATGCTGATGAAGATGTTGATGCTAATATTGATGATGATGACGATGGTGATGCTGATGCTGGTGATGTTGATACTGATGTTGACGATGATGCTTTTGATGCTACTGTTTTTGCTGATGATGTGGATGGCGACGATGGTGTTGCTGCTGCTGCTGATGATGATTAGGCTGATTATGCTGACGTTGCTGCTGCTGATGATGATGATGTTGATGATGATGCTGATGCTGATGATGCTTATTATTGTGATGATCATGATGTTGATCATGGTGATGGTGGTGATGACGGTGATGACAGTAATGCTAGTGTCCAGGATGAGGAAAAGAGAGATGCTGATGGTTGTGGCGGTGATGGTGGTGATGATGATGCTGCTCATGGTGATGCTGCAGGTGATGACGGTGATGATACTGCTGCTGATGATGCTGCTGTTGATGCTGTTGATGTTGATGATATTGATGATGCTGATGATGATTGTGATGCTGAAGATGAAGATGAAGATGATGATGATGATGATGATGATGATGATGATGATGATGATGATGATGATGATGATGATGATGATGATGGTGATGGTGATGATGATGATGATGATGATGATGATGATGCTGGTGATGATGATGATGATGATGATGATGCTGATGCTGATGATGATGATGATGATGATGGTGATGGTGATGGTGATGGTGATGGTGGTGGTGGTGGTGTTGGTGGTGGTTGTGGTGGTGGTGAGGAGGAGGAGGAGGAGGAGCGCGGGGAATGATATTGAGGACGACGAGGAAGATCATCATGATGGGAAGAGAAGGGTTTTGAGAAGAGGGGAGAGTGAAGCATGGGCAAGTATGGGAAGAAGGAGGCTGATGAGGATGAGGAGCAGGAGGGGGAAGAGGAGGAGGAGGAGGAGGATGAGGAGGAGGAGCACGGATGGAAGGAGCGGCATAAAGGATTAGCAGCCCGAGCGCACGGCTGCTACGAGGGAGGCCGAACGACAGTGGTGCGGACGCAGTGGGAACGGCAGCAGTTGGGTCCCAGATTGGCGTCGCCTCCTCCCTCCTCGCTCCTCCTCCCTCTTCCCTCCTCCCTCTTCCCTCCTCCCTCTCCCCTCCTCCCTCCTCTCCCTCCATCCTCCTCCATCCTTCTCCGGGGCTTCGTAGCCATTTCGTGTCAAGCTCGTCTCAAGCCTCCTGGTCGCCATTTGCCTCGCCTCGTGGCCGGTCCAGGCGCTACTGCTTGAGAAGAATGGCGCGGAAGGGGGGAGTGGTGCCCGTCCGAGGCGCTCGCCTGGCGAGCACAAGGCCGCCCGCGACTACAGGGCCGTGGTCGAGCTGTCCGAGGAGCTCAGTCGCGCCAAGCCGGAGCTGGACGCCACTGTGGAGGCGCTGGACGGGCCTCTGGGCGGCGCGAGGGTGGAGGGGCGCGTGCGCGCCAGCCTCCCAGCGCTGACGGCATTTTGCCCGCGGGGCGCCCTCCTGGGCGGCGGGCGAGGCTGCGCAGGCACGGGGCTCTTCGCTGCGTTGCGCCAGGCGTCGCGATCGGCACGGCGGCCGCGCCCAATCACTCTTTGGGAAGGCTCAGCGTGGGCCTCTGCTCGAGCCCAGGGCGGAGGCGCCCTCTCGGCGCCCGCCGCGCCTTTTTGTGCCTGGCGGCGGCTGCTGGTTGCGGGCGGGCCGGCGTGGGCGCGTCGTTTCGTCACGCGGCCGGGGAGCCCAATTTTGTCGCGGAGCAGTTTCAGTCAAGCAGTGGCGAAGCGTCCTGGCTCCCCTATAGTCCAACCAAACAATGTTCTAAGAACCTTTTTTGTGGTTTCCACGAAAGGTTTTTAGAGCGCTTCTGGCTGGGACTGTCTTGGTTTATCACATCGGGTTCATGTTATAAGAACATTGTTTCTGTTCTTAGAACATTATTGGCTTCTTAAAACATTTCGCGGTAGGACTATAGGAATGCCGGGACGGTCGGTCCCAGCTCAATTCAGGAGCTGAATCTCGTCCCCCTTTTCATCGATGCAGCCGTGGACGCTTCTAGCTGGCCTGCAGGCTCCTGCGAGGCCTGTGGGAGCCACCTCGCAGGTCCTGCGATTCAGGCCCTTCTCGTCGCACGGTCGAAGAGCAGGAGGCGGAATGGCGGTCTACAGAAGTCGCGCGCCCGCTGCGCCACGGAGCGCCTGCGTGATCCGATGTGCTATGCTCGGGGCGAGATCAGGTGTTATCGTGGCCCGTTGGTTGTTAGTGCGGCCCGGTGGGTGCTAGTATGGCCAGGGTTCCTCCAGAAGGTATTAATCAACGAGTACGGTGAAGGGGGGGGGAGTCTCCAAAGCCCCCCCTCCTTCACCGAAGAGCCTGTCGGAATAGCCTCTGGGGTCGCCGACAAGCCTCTTGGAGCCGCCGAAGAGCTTCCTGGGCTCTCCGAAGAGCCTCTTGGAGCAGCCGAAGAGCCTCTTGGGCTCTCCGAGGCCTTCAGGGTCTCCAGCGAGCCCTCCTGGGAGCCCTCCAAGGGGCCCTCCAGAGCCTCCCATTCCTCCGAATTCCATTGCTCTCCTCAGCACTCCTCCGCACTTCGCTCCATTCCTCCCCCCTCTCCGCACTCCTCCCCACTCCTCTGCCTTCCCGCACTTCATCGTGCTCCTCGGCATCCCTCCCCACTCCTCGAAACTCCCTCCATCTTGCTTTTCGGCGTTCCTCCACTCCTCCGGAGTCCTCCCCGCTCCATCGCACTGCTCCCTCCGCCTCCCGATGCCATGACACTCCTCCTCCTGCCTCCTCCTCATTCCTCCCTCGTTCTCCCTCCTCCCTGCACCCTCCTCCCTCCTCCCTCACGGCCACCTAGGCTCCCTCGGGGAGGGACCGGCACCCCCGTAGGGGACCTAGGGGGCAGGCCGGAAGGAAGCGGTCCACCTGCTAGGCCACGGTGGGCCTGCAGGCCGCTGGAATTCCGGCCAGGCAGAGGCAAGGAGGGGAGAGGAGGAGGGGAAGGAGGGGACGGTCGCACAGACGGCGCCCCGGCAAGGGCGGCCCGGCAGGGGAAGGGGAGGGCGGGGGAAGGGAGAGGGGGGCGGGGGGCGGCGGCGTGCGCCGGCGTGGTGGTGGTGGTCATGCTGGTGGTGGTCGTGGTGGTCGAGGTGGTCGCGCTGGTGGCGGTCGTCGTGGTGGTCGTGATGAAGGTGGTCGTGGTGGCTGGTAGGCGTGGTCGGTCTGCTGGTAGTGGCTGGTAGGTGTGGTCGGTCTGCTGGTGGTGGTCGTAGTGGCTGGTACTGGTGGCCCCCGCGTGGCGGTGGTGGTGGTGGCCGCAGTGGTGGTTGATGGCAGCCGCCGCGTTCTGGTCGTTGTCCTGGTCGTATTGCTTGTGTCTGCCGCAGCGGCTGTCGTGCTGGCGCTGGTCGTTGTCGCGGGGGCCATGGGGCTTAGCGCCCGAGCGCGCTCAGCAGCATCTCAGCATTTCCCCTTTGGAGGGTCCTGCTGATCTGCCGCCAGAGACCGCCCAGCAGCTCGGAGCGGTCGGCGTCGTCTAAACAGGCTCCGTAATTGCGGACAAAGCTGGCTGCTTCGTCGCTGGGCCGGCCCCCCGTCTCGAAGACAAGAGGGACCAGTTCTCCTCCGTGCGGAGGGTAGCGCTCGCGCTTCTGTTCCACCGCCTGCGCGGCCGCCAGTCCGTCCCTCTCGGCCGGGGCACCCCTGCGTGGAGCGTAGGTTGAGTGTACGCAGGTGATGCTCCAGTCGATGAAGATCTGGCGGCCGCAGGCCGGGTCGCTAGTGGAAAGGTCGAGCACTGCCTGTTGGAGCTCGCCCGTGCGGGGGTGGCGGCGGTCCCAGGCTGGGACGGCCTGCCCCGTGGACGCCGCGAAGCCAGTGAGTTCCTTGTGCTTCGCGGAGTGCCAGTCGCGGCAACTGTTGTGGCGGTTGTTGCGCGACGCGCCCACCTCGCACTTGACTGCGTGCCAGCCATGCGGGTCGAGGGGCTCGTTGCAGAGGCTTCCGTCCTGGCGGCGGTGCTGGCAGCGAGAGCCAGGCGGGCAGACGGGGATGCCGAGCCGACGCTTGAGATTGCAGCAGAAGTGCGGATCTGGCTGGCGGGGTTCGTCTGGCTGGCGCGGGAGGAGCCAACTGCCGGCGCCAGTGCCTCCGTTTTCCCGCAGGCGCAGGCGGTGGTCCTCGTCGTGCGCCCGCAGCAGATTCCCCCTGTTGGCCGCGGAGGCCGCTCTGCCCCAGTGCCCCTGAAGCTTCGGCTGCGTCTCGGCGGCGCAGCCAATCCAATCAAAGGGCGCCTGGAGGACGTCGGCCGCCCGGAGCGCCGCCTCCGCCTGGTCGAGCGTCTGTTTCGTCCTCGGGCAGCGGGTCCGGAATTCCTCCAGCGAGTTCGCCCCCAGGCAAGCCATGACGTCGTGAAGCAGGAGGGCCCAGCTGGCGGCGTAAGCGGCGGGCGCCGTCTGGGTGGCTGAGGGGAAAGCACATCCGCCGTCGGAGAGTCGCAGGGTGGCTTGGAGGCGCAGCGGCGCGTCCAGGGGCCCGCCAGCGAGCTGCTCGAGGCAGCCGAAGAGGACAAGGTCGAGCTGCTCTGTCCAGTCCCCCTGCAGGTTGGCGCGGAGGTGGTGCGTGACGCACCCGCGAGCGAAAGTCCGGAGGAAGGCGAAGGCGCTCTCAGCCCGCAGGCCCGCCTGTCGCAGCTCTTGCAAGCGGGCAGCAAACGCCGCTGCCTTGGCCACGGCCGTAGCTCCGTCTGGCCCAGCGTGGACGGCCACTCGTTCTTCCTCCTCTCCCTCCCCTCTCCGCTCCTGCTCGAGCCGAGGGGCGGTGTTCCCCAGGCAGGTGAGGTTGTCTACCCAGCGCCCCTGTGCGGCGGCAGGCAAGTGGCCGCGCCCTCCGGCGGACCACGCCTGGGTCTTCGTCTGGTTGACTGCAAGTCCGTGCCGCGTTACGGAGTCGGTGACCACCTGCATGGCTGCGTCCGCCTGTTCTGGCGGGACGAAGACCATGATGTCGTCGAGGTAGCTGAACACCCTGCAGGAGGTCGAGAGGGCCTGGAGGCGCGCGTGCGCATCGTCCAAAGCGTCCGCATTGCCGATGGCCAAGAGCGCTGGCGAGAGCGGGCGCCCCTGGTCCACGCCGCTGGTAGCCCGAATGTGGTGGGCGTCTTCGGCGGGGTCGCCCCACCAGTAGTGCCGCGTGGTTCCCGTGAGCCAGTGGTGGGTGCACTGGAACAGCCGCGGGGCCCGCCGACGCAAGCTGTCCAGGACCCTGTCGCGGGGGACACTGTTAAAGGCGTTAGGGCAGTCGAACGCCAGAGCAACCCCGAGCGGGCAAGCCTCCGACAGGGCTGTGAGGTACTTGTGCACGAGCTCGCACCCCGCCGCGCGCCCGACGGCATATTGGTGGGGGCCGACTGCACCCTGTATGTCGTCTTTGTAGACATCGCAGGCGGCTCTCGCAGCGAGGCGGCGGAGGACAGAACCGCACGCAATCGGCCGGAGTGTTCCGTTCCGCATGCGCTGGGCCAGCAACCGGGCGCCAAGGTTGGCTCGCGTCGCCTCGGGGCTGAGCTCGCCGAGCAGGAAGCCGACCGCGACCCTGGCCACCACTTCCAGAGCGTGGGTGTCGGCGAGCAACGTGCGCCAGTGTTCAAAGCGGCTGCCGTTCGGGCCAGGTCCAGAGCGGCGCGGGCTCTTTGCGAGGCTCTTGACCACGGCCGCGGCCAGGGCAGCGCGAGTGTCGTCGTCTGGCGCTGCTGGCACTTCCAGGAGGCGTTGTTCTGGCTGCTCTGGAAATAAGGCTTGGAGGCCAGCCTGGACGCCAGCCCTCGAGGCCAGCGCGCTGGGGCGGAGGGCTCGCTGCATTGCCTTGCTGACGAGGTGTTCGTCCAGCAGCGTCTCTACCGCTCGCGCGTCCTGCTTCGCCGTCGGGGCACCATCTCCTCTTCTCGGCCCGCGGCTCGCAGACGTAGTGGATTCGCGCCAGAGACCTCCCCAGTCCCCTTGCTCCGCCATCCGCACGCGCCGCGTGAGGATGCGTGCCGGCCACCCGAGTTGCACGCCTTCTGGCCACCGCGGGTCTTCCCAGGTTTGAAAAGCAACACTCTGTCGAAAACGTGAACGCCTTCTCCGCCCGGGCCTGCGCGGCGGCGTCACCAGCAGTCTTCGCGGCAAGGAGCTGTTCGGCCACGTGTCCGCGGAGTTGGGCCAAAGCTGCGCTCACGTTCGTCGGCACCGGGAGAATGGTGGGGACGTCTTGCTCGAGGGCGGCGTGATCAATTGAATCCCACCACTCCAAATTCGCAGGCTGGGGCGGCATACTGCTGGAAGGGTCCTCGGGCTCGGGGCCCAGCGCCCCGTCGTCCTTCTCCAGAAGGGGCACGCCCAGCAAAACGGCCTGGCGGGCAGTGTCGGGATCGGTCCTCGCGCGCTTGGCTCTGCCGTGGTCTGCCACGTACTCTGCCCGCGTGGGCTGGCCAGGGCGGTCACACAGGCCTCGGGCGGCGTTTTGTTGTTCCGGCGAGAGCGCGCCTGTGCCCTGCACCTGGTCGCAGGGCCCCAAGCCGCCCTCCACGCAGCCCAGGTGGTAGTAGAGCGGGTTGGCCAAGCGAGGCTTGCATACTCGCAGGTCCCCTTTGGCGAGGGGTTCCCGGCATGTTGGCGCGCGGCAGAGAGCGCCGCGCCTACTCGGCATCACACTGACGGCCCAGGACGTGGCCCGCAGGTGTCGCCCTCTTGGTGGCGCGGGCTCGGGGTGCAGCTCTGGCGGGGGCGGGGCCGACGCTGCCGCCTCCTCTAGAGGGAAGGCTGGCCAGCAAGCCGCGGCGAGGACGGGCGCGCTGGCCTGAAGCCCCAGCGCGGGGCAGCCTGCCAGGGCGACTGTGGCGCTAAGGACGCGGCAAAGCCATGGCGTAGTGTGCGCGCCCCTCCAAATAGCCACGAGGCTTCCAGCCCCATAGGCCGCGCGGAGACCTCCCATTCGCACGGCGTTGACGGCCATGACTGGCACTGGGGATCCCGAAGCGACGGCGAGCAAGGACATCACGGGCATGCTCCCGCCTGCGACGGCGTGCCCGGTTGCGGTCAACATCACTGTGGCGAGCGCCTCCGGGCGCAGCGCTTGGAAGAGGCCCCACAGCATGACACCGGACGTGAACCGCGTAGCCACGAAGGCTCCGAAGAAAAACTTGTCGAGGAACCCAGGCCCCCGAAGATTCAGGTTCACGGCGCGAGGGCCCGGCGATATTCCACCAGCAGCGCTGGTCGTGCTGGCCGCGCCACTGGCGGACGCAGCGCAAGAGCGGAGATGGTGTAGGTAGTAGAGTTCCGCGCTGGAAGTCGCCCGACCGGCTGGGCTAGTGCTGCTTTCTGCCGAGCTGCTGGGACCGCTCGAAGATGTCAGCATCCAAGGGCTGCTGCTCTCTGTCGTGCTGCTCCGGGTCGTGCTGCTCTCTGCCGCGCTGCTGGGACCACTCGCGGATGTCAACGTCCAAGAGCTGCTGCTCTCTGTCGTGCTGCTCCGGGTCGTGCTGTTCTGCTCTCTGCCGAGCTGCTGGGACCACTCGCGGATGTCAGCATCCAAGGGCTGTTGCTCTCTGTCGTGCTGCTCCGGGTCGTGCTGCTCTCTGCCCAGTTGCTGGGACCATTCGCGGATGTCAACGTCCAAGGGCTGCTGCTCTCTGTTGTGCTGCTCTGGGTCGCGCAGCTCTGTGCCGTGCTGCTGAGACCCCTCGCGGATGTCAACGTCCAAGGTCTGCTGCTCTCTGTCGTACTGCTCCGGGTCGTGCTGCTCTTTGCCGAGCTGCTGGAAACATTCGCGGATGTCAACGTCCACGGGCTGCTGCTCTCTGTCGTGCTGCTCCGGGTCGTGCTGCTCTCTACCGAGCTGCTGGAACCACTCGCGGATGTCAACATCCAAGGGCTGCTGCTCTTTGTCGTGCTGCTCCGGGACGTGCCGCTCCCTGCCGTGCTGCTGGGCCCGCTCTCGGCTGTCAACGTCCATGGACTGCTGCTCTCTGTCGTGCTGCTCCGGGTCGTGCTGCTCTCTGCCGAGCTGCTGGGACCACTCGCGGATGTCAGCGTCCAATGACTGCTGCTGTCTGTCGTGCTGCTCCCGGTCGTGCTGCTCTTTGCCGTGCTGTTGGGACCATTCGCGGATGTCGACATACAAGGGCTGCTGCTCTCTGTCGTGCTGCTCCGGGTCGCGCTGCTCTCTGCCGTGCTGCTGGGACCACTCGCGGATGTCAACGTCCAAGGGCTGCTGCTCTCTGTCGTGCTGTTCCGGGTCGTGCTGCTCTCTGCCGCGCTGCTGGGACCGCTCGCGGATGCCAACGTCCAAGGGCTGCTGCTCTCTGTCGTGCTGCTCCAGGTCGTGCTGCTCTCTCCTGATGTTCTGGGACCACTCGCGGATGTCAACGTCCAAGGGCTGCTGCTCTCTGTCGTGCTGTTCCGGGTCGTGCTGCTCTCTGCCGCGCTGCTGGGACCGCTCGCGGATGCCAACGTCCAAGGGCTGCTGCTCTCTGTCGTGCTGCTCCGGGTCGTGCTGCTCTCTGCCGGACCCCGGGGCCCACTCGCGGATGTCGACGTCCAAGGGCTGCTGCTCTCTGTCGTGCTGCTCTCTGTCGTGCTGCTCCGGGCCGTGCTGCTCTCTGCCGTGCTGCTGGGACCACTCGGGGATGTCAGTGTCCAAGGGCTGCTGCTCTCTATCGTGCTGCTCCGGGTCGTGCTGCTCTCTGCCAGACCCCTGGGCCCACTCGCAAATGTCGACGTCCGAGGGCTGCTGCTTTGTGTCGTGCATCTCCGGGTCGTGCTGCTCTCTGCCGTACTGCTGGGCCCACTCGCGGATGTCAACGTCCAAGGGCTGCTGCTCTCTGTCGTGCTGCTCCGGGCCGTGCTGCTCTCTGCCGTGCTGCTGGGCCCACTCGCGGATGTCAGCGTCCAAGGGCTGCTGCTTTGTGTCGTGCATCTCCGGGTCGTGCTGCTCTCTGCCGTGCTGCTGGGTCCAT